TACTACTCAGAAAAAAAGATTCCCTTCACGATATTACTACTCACTGACAATGCACCTGATCACCCAAGAGTTCTAATGGAGATGTACAAGGAGCTTAATGTTGCCTTCACACCTGCTAACACAACCTCCTTATTGCAGCCCACAGGTTAAAGAGTAATTTTGACTTTCAAGTCTTGTTACTTAAGAAATACATTTTATAATGCCATAATTGCCAAAGATAGTAATTCCGCTGATGAATCTTGACAAAGTTCATTGAAAACCTTCTGGGAAGGATTCGCCATTCTCGATGCCATTAAGAACATTCATGATTTATGGGAGGAAGTCAAGATAGCAACATTAATAGGAGCTTGAAAGACATTGATTCCAATCCTCATGGATTACTTTGAGGGATTCAAGATTTCAGTGGAGGAAGTCATTGCAGATATAGCAAGAGCAATAGAATTAGAAGTGGAGCCCAGAGACGTGACTGAATTGTTGTAATCTCATGATAAAATTTGAACAGACGGAGATTTGCTTCTCATGGATGAGCAAAGAAAGTGGTGTTTTGAGATGGAATCTACTCTGCTGTGCACATTGTTCAAATAACAAGGATTTAAACGTTACATAAACTTAGTTGATAAAACAGTTGTGGAGTTTGAGAGGCTTAACTCCAGTTTTGAAGGAAGTTCTACCGTGAGTTGAATGTGATAGTAAAACGCTATCAAACAGCATTGCATACTACAGAGAAATCATTCGTCAAGGGAAGAATCCATCGATGTGGCAAATTTCGTTGTCTTATTTTAAGAACTTTCCACAGCCTTTTCAACTTTCAGCAATCACCACCCTGATCAGTCAGCAGCCATCAAGGCAAGACCTTACATCAGTAAAAAGATGGTGAAGACTCAGATGATTGTCAGCATATTTTTAGCAATAAACTATTTTAAAATTAAGTATGCATTGTTTTTAAAGACACGATGCTATTAGCATACCTAATAGACTACAGTGTAGTGTAAACATAACTTTTATATGCACTGGGAAACCAAAAAATTTGTGTGACTTGCTTTATTGTGGTGGTCTGGAACTGAACTTGCAATATCTTTGAAATATGCCTGTAGATCAACGAAACAGAACAGAGTTCAGAAAAAGACCTACACAAATACAGTCAACTGATTGTTGACAAAGTAGCAAAGGAGAAAAGATAGTTCTGTCAACAAACAAATGGTGCTAAAACAGTTGGATATTCACATGCAATAAAATAAAATAAAAATCTAGACACAGACCTTACATTCTTCACAAAATGTAGTCAAAATGATCATTAACCTAAAAGTAAAATGCCAGACTCATAAAGATAACATAGGAGAAAATCTAGATGACCTTGGGTTTGGTAGTGACTTTTTTGATACAACACCAAAGGCATGATCCATGAAAGAAAAAAATTAACAAGTTGAACTTTATTAAAATTAAAAACACTGCTCTGCAAAAAACACTGTCAAGAGAATGAGAAAACAAGACAGACTGAAAGAAAATACTTGCAAAAGATGTATCTGATAAAAGACTGTTATCCAAAATACACAAAGTCCTCTTAAAACCCCACAATAGGCCGGGTGCAGTGGCTCAGCCAGTAATCTTAGCACTTTGGGAGGCCGAGGCAAGAGAACTGCCTGAGCCCAGGGATTCAAGAACAGCCTGGGCAAGATTTCGTCTTTACAATAAATCACAAAAACTAGCCAGGTGTGGTGGCGTGCATCTGTAGTTCCAGCTACTCGGAAGGCTGAGGTGAAGGGATCGCCTAAGTCCAGCAGGTGGCCGTGAGCGTGCCACTGCACTACAGCCTGGGAGACAAGAGTGAGACTCCAACTCAAAAAAGAAAAAAACCCAACAATAAGAAAATGAACAACCCAATTTGGACACATCATCAAAGAAGACATACAAGTGTCATAAGCATTTGAAAAAATGTTCAACATCATGTCATTAATGAACTGCAAATTAAAACAAGTAGATACGATTACACAACTATTAGAATAGCAATAATCCAAAACACACACCACTTGCTGGAAAGGATATGGAATGACAGGAACTCTCGTTCATTGCTGGTAGGAATGCAAAATGGTACTTTGGAAGGCAATTTGGCAGAAGACAATTTGGCAGCTTCTTGTATAACTAAACATACTCTTTCTTACTATAGGATCCCACAATTGAGTCCTTTGGTATTTACCCAAAGGAACTGAAAACTTATGTCCACACACAAGTCTGCACATAGATATTTATAGCAACTATACTCATAAGAGCCAAAACTTGGAGGCAACCAAGATGTCTCCTTCAGTAGGTGAATGGATAAATAAATGGTGTACATCCCTATAATGGAATACTGTTCAGCAAGAAAAAGAAACAACCTATTAAAACACACACAAAAAAGTGGAAGATCCTTAAACACATATTGCTAAGTGAAAGAAGCCAATCTGAAAAGGCTGAATCATACTGTATGATGCCAACTATAGGACATTCTGGAAAAGGCAAAAGTATGATGATGTAAAGACATCAGTGGTTGCTGAGGGTCCATGGAGAGGAAGGGATGAAAAGGTGGAGCACAGGGGAATATTTAGCAGGAATGAAACTGTGCTGTGGAATGAATACATGCCATCATGGTAGATGCATGTCATTAAGCACTTGCCAAAATCCATAAAATGTACAACTTATAGTGAACCCTAATGTAAACTATAGATATCAGTTAATAATACTGTGTCAATATTGGCTCATCAATTGTAACAAATGTACCACACTCATGTAAGAGGTTAATAATAGGAGAAGGGGGTAGTGGTGAGAGGGCATATGGGAACTCTGGACTTACCAATTCAATTTTTCTGTCAACCTAAAACTACTTTTAAAAGTCTATTAAAATTCAAAAAAATTATACATTTGAGTGAATTATGTGGTTTTAATAGTCATACTATTTGGCTCAAAAATTCCACTTTAGTGATCGATTCTAACAAAATAGTCCAACATCCAGAAGAAAAAAAATGGAGATCTTTTTTGCATCAGAATCTTTACTCTAGTGTGATTTTGAATAGCAATAAGCTGATAACAACCCAAAAGAGGAGAAAAGATAAGGTAAATCACCAAATATTTATTTAAAGATTACACATCTATTAAAATATTTATGAGTTTATAAAAATATTTAAAATACAATGTAATATGAAAAGAGCAGGGCACTAACGAATATTTGCAATATTTAATTAAAACTATGTTTTTCAAAAAGCAAACAGGCATTAAAAATTTGGAAGGAAAACACGTGAACAGTTTGTAGGTGGGTGGTAGGAGCCCAGGTGATTTTTCTCTTTTGCTTTCAAAATCTTTAAAGAATATACATTACTTTTAACATGAAAAAATTGCTAAAAGTCAGAGGAAAGTGTATGTTAATTAATGTTTCATGATGAAGTGTTATTTTCTGATCTAGACTTTGTGAAAAATAAATGACAAAGAAAGCTAAAAAAAAATGTGACACCTCCTTCATATGTTTTCACGCCCTGTCAAAATCCGTAAGATTCACTTACCAGAAACTGGCCCAGAGGAACAACTTCTTTGTTTAATTGAATCCTTAGAGTTCAGAAAGTCTATGAGAGGAGAGAGAGAAAAGAGGAGAGAAGAGATAGAAAGAGACTGAGAGAGAGCTAGAGCTAGAGAGTGAGAGTGAGTGCGAGAGGAATAGAGATAAAGAGACAGGACAAATTAGGGGGAAAAGAGCAGGAATAATCAAATGGGAAATATGTAGTAAACCATATACAAAGTGCTATGTGTTCAAGGATCATGAGAAAAATCCTTGATATATATATTTTAAAAGCAAACAGAATAAGGTCAGTTGGCATCATAAAAAAACCTTCAAAAGGACTGAAGCCATTCTCTTTTGCTGTGAAGTACTAAGGATGACTTTCAGGCAGATGCAGTCCTAGGCACAGCAAGCGTTTCTGGTGTGGGCTGACTCGATCCCTCCACAGTCTGCAGTCAAGCAACTGAATCAGCTGAGTAAATGGGCACTGGGGTCAATGATCCTGCACTGAATCCTGGCTTTGGCAGTTCTCTGGCCTTGGTCAGCAGTGTGTCTCTAATGCCAGACTACCTGGGTTTGGGTCCTGCCACTATGCGCACTGACTGTGTGACCCTGGACTTGTGACCTCACCTTTCTGGATGTGTTTCCTCCTCTGAGAGGTGGAGCTTTCCACCACTAACTGGCACGAAGTGGTTGTGGGGACCGTGCCGTTACACGCAGAGTTTGCAGGACAGGCCCGACACACGTAAACCCTTAAAAAACATCTCTTAGCCGGGCTCGGTGGCTCAGCCTGTAATCCCGTGCCTTTGGGAGGCTGAAGTGAGTGGATTGCCTGAGCCCACGGGTTCGAGACCCGCCTGGGCAACTTGGCGAGACCTCATCTCTACAATAAATCAAAAATTAGCCGGGCGTGGTAGCGCGCACCTGTAGTTCCAGCTACTTGGAAAGCTGAGGCGGAAGGATCGCTGGAGCCCAGCAGGCGAGGCTGCGGTGGCCGGGAGCAGCCACTGCACTCCAGTCTGGGCGACAAAGTGAGACTCCAACTCAACAAAACAAACAAACAAAAATCTCTTTCTGGTCCAGCCCTCTCACACAGAACACCCGAAACCAAATAGCCCCAGAACTTTTTTCTAATTTTAGAAGAGTAGCACAAGGCATACTCCATGTGTTCTGAACTACTCTCAGTATGAATTAATTGGTGTGCAAATATTTATACTAATTGGGATGGAGGCTATAAATCACATCCCTATCAGTTTGCCACAAGATGCCTGTGGACTTTTGTTACTTTTATCATTATGTTGTTTCCCAGAACCTCAGTTTTCTCATCTGTAAAATGGGGACAAGAGGCACTGAACACAACGCTCTGGAATCCCCCCCTGCCTTCTTGGGAATGAATGTAGATCCTAGGAAGTTCCCACTCCACATTTCCCTGGAAAGTGTGGGCTGGCCAGGTCCCACCGAGCCAGGTTGCTCTTACCTTCTTGCGGCCCTAGCTTCACCGCGTGGGACTCATGCAGGATCTCCGCCACCGGCCTGCGAGTGTAAAGGATGGTGGCGCCGCTCAGGTTGACTCGGACCCGCTGGGACCGGGAAGTGAGGTTGGCCAAGCACAGGGCCAGTCTCAGGTCATGACCCAGGACAGGCGGCTCTAGCACCTTGAACTTGCCGGTGATACTGGGCTTGGTGGCTGGCTCCAGGAGGTCATCACGCCAGAGACCACGGCCCCCAGCCCTGCGGATGCGGGTTCTCCTCCCCGAGGCTTCCACGCTGAACAGCTTCTTCACCGCCTTGCTGTACACCTGCCTCTCCTTCCGGGACCCTGCAGGGCATGTGCACCATCAGTGGCAGGCACACTCCCCCTCCTCCTCCGGTCCCCAGGCCATCCCTTCTCATTTCCCCTCTTCTTGGGCCAGGACAACCACTCCATCACCACTTTAGCTTAGCATGGCTCTCAGAGGTCTCAAACTGGACGCTCAAGGCCATATGCAGACTCAGCTATGAATAAGTCTTGTGTTTGGTTTTCCAACGATTTAAATCATTTTTAAATCAGTTGCTAACAACCTCAGATTGGGAAATTTCACGTAAAATGCAGATTCCCAGGTTTTCTAACTGGGTCAGAAGTCTCACAGAATAATGAGCACTAACACTTTTGTAGACTTACTATGTGCCAGGCACTGTAGCTCATGGTGCTACATTTTTTTTCCCCAGGAGGTAGGTACTGTTATCACCTGCATTTTACAGAAGAAAAAGCCAAGGCACAGAGAAGTAAAGTAGCTTCTCAGTCCCACAGCTCAGTGGTGAGTGAGGGAGTTGGGGTCTGAACCCAAGCAGTAGGACTCCAAATCCATTCATGCTCCCTTTCCACTCTCCACATGGCAATAACAGCCTCGAATTGAGCAATGGTGGCCCCCTGGAGGGGAATGCACTCTCTGGTAGTCCAAGAACCCTACCCTGTAATTCTACTTGCTTGCTGCACTCAGGGGATGCTGTCTGCGGGGCTCCTGGTTTAGAACCCTTGAAGTCCCACTTTTCCTATTGCTAGCACAGAGCCTTTTGAGCTCTAGACCGATATATAGCACTGGACAGCACCCTCAGATGTCCCATGGATGCCTCAAATCCAACCAAACCCCACATCTTCTACCCAGTGACGTTTCTCAGCTCAGCAAGTGGCACCGCCATTGCCCAGGTGTATACACGCCAGAAACCTGGGAGTGTTCTGGACTCTTCCCTCACCCATGCCACCCACCTCATCCTCATTAATCTCTGGAATCTGTCCTCCTCTCTCATCTCTCCTTCCCATCAGCTCACCACACAACCGCCTCTCCATCAGGGCAGTTTGTAAACTTTTACCACTATTATCAGAACTCAGTTTCCGTGAGCTTCAGTTTTCCTATCTGCAAAGTGGGGCAAGAGACCCACAGGCAAACTCAGCACAGTGCTCAAGAATGTCCCCACCCTTCCTGGGAATGTAGGATCCACTCCACTTCCGTCCCTTTTCCACTCTGATCATTTCAAAACCCAACTCTGTGCCACGCACCCTGGCTCACACCTATACTCACAGTACTTTGGAAGGTATGAAAATCACTTGAGCCCATGAGTTCAAGACCAGCCTGGGTAGTATAGCGAGATTTTTGTCTTTACAAAAAATTAGCCGAGCACGATGCTGCGGGCCTGTAGTCTCAGCTACTTGGGAGGCTGAGGTGGGGGAGGATTGCCTGAGCCTAGAAGGTCGAGGCTGCAGAGAGCCAGTGAGCCATAATTGTATCACTGCACTCCAGCCTGGGTGACAAAGTGAGACACATACACACACACACACTCCAACTCTGATCATTCCACTTCCCTTCTAGAAGCCTGCAATGTGCAGTGTCCACACTGCTCTTTACCAAATATTTTCCCCAAAGTGTCCTGATATTGTGTGACCTTGGTCTGAAGGGATATCTATGTGAACACCAAGGTTCTTTAACATCCTATGCTTTATTATTAAAACAAATATGAATTTTGCTACTCCATAATATGGCCACAATATATTTCTACCATGAAAATATTTCATTTTCTTGCCTAAGAACCTAATGCCACCTTCTCAGGGAGGGCTTCTCAGACCACCTGACTTTTTGAATAGCATTATTGAGATGATAATTCTGTAACATACCATTCACCCATTTAAAGAGTACAATCTGATGTTTTTCGGTAAGTTCACAGAGTTGTGCGCCCATCACTGCAGTTTAATTTTAGAGCATTTTTGTCACCCTTGAAATAAACTATGTAACCACTTAGCAGCCACTTCCCATTTCTCCTAACTTCAGCCCAAAGAAACCACTAATCTAATTTCAAATTTACCTATTCTGGACATTTCTTTTTTCTGTTTTTTTTTTTTTTTTAGTTGAAGTCTCACTCTTGCCCAGGCTGGAGTGCAGTGGCACGCTCATGGCCACCCCAGTGTTGAACTGCTGGGTTCAGGCGATCCTTCCACCTCAGCCTTCCAAGTAGCCGGAACTACAGGCACGTGCTACCATAACTGGCTAATTCTTTGATTTATTGTAGAGATGAAGTCTCACCAAGTTGTCCAGGCTGTTCACGAAGGCATGGGCTCAGGCAATCCTCTCATCTCGGTCTCTCAAAGTTCTGGGATTACAGGGTTGAGCCACCGTGGACATTTCATATAAAGGGAATCACAATGTGCAGTCTTCCCTGAAATTTTTTAAGGTTTATACATGTTGTAGCCTGTATCAGTACATCACTCTTTTGTTGCTGACTAGTATACTATTGTACAGAGATACATGTTATTTATCTGTTGATGGATATTTGAGTTGTTCCCACTTTTTAGCTATTTTCAATAATATTGCTATGACCATTCATGTATATATTTTTGTGTGGATGTTTGTTTTTATTTCTCTTGAGTATACACTTAGAAGTGCAATTGTTGGGTAATGGTAATGCTATGTTTAACATTTTGAGAGACTGTACAACTGTTTTCCAAAGTGGCTGCACTAATGTACATTCCAACCAGCAGTGTATGAGAGTTCCAATTTCTCCACATCTTCACCAGCACTAATTGTCTATCTTTATTATTATTATTACTGTTATTATTATTATTATCAGAGTCTCACTCTGTTGCCCAGGCTGAAGTGCAGTGGCATGATCATAGCTCACTGCAGCCTTGAACTCCTAAGCTCAGGTGATCCTTCTGCCTCAGCTTCTCAAGTAGCTGGAACTACAGGCCTACGCCACCATGCTTGGCTAGTTATTTTTTATTTTTAGTAAAGACAAGGTTTCACTATGTCGCCTAGGCTGGTCTTGAACTCCTGGGCTCAAGTAATCTTGCGGTGACCTTGCAAAGTGCCAGAATTACATGTGTGAGTCACCATGCTCAGACTTCTATCTTATTTATTATAGCAATTCTAGTGGATGTGAAGTGGTATCTCATTGTGATTTTGATTTGCATTTCCCTAATGACTTAATGATGTTAAGCATCTTCTTATGTATGTGCTTACCGGCCAATTGTATATTGTCCTTGGAGAAACGTTTGTCCAAATTCTTTGCTGCATTAAAAATACTGGGTGTGGTGGCTCATGCCTATAATCCCAGCATTTTAGAAGGCTGAGGTGAGAGGATTGCCTGAGTTCAAGATCAGCCCGGGCAACTTGGCGAGACCTCTTCTCTACAATAAATTAAAAAATTAGCCAGGCATGGTGGTGCATGCCTGTAGTTTCAGCTACTTGGAAGGCTGAAGTGGAAGGATCGCCTGAGCCCAGCAGGTCGAGGCTGCGGTGGCCGTGAGCATGCCGTTGCCCTCCAGCCTGGGCAACAGAATGAGACTGACTCAAAAATAAAAGTGATTATTTTTTATCATTGAGTTGGAAGAGTTTTCTCTATGTATTCTGGATGCAAGTCCCTTATCCATTTGATACATGAGTTGCAAATATTCTTTCCTATTCTGTGGGCTATCTTTCCACTGTCTTGATGGTATTGTTTGAAGCATGAGTTTTTAATTTTGATGAAGTCCAATGATCAATTTTTTCTTTTGTTACTTGTGCTTTTGATGTCATATCTGAAAAGGCTTTGCCTAACCCAATATCGTGAAGGTTTACTCCTATATTTTCTTCTAAAAGTGTTATAGTTTTGGCTTTTACATACAGTTTATGATCCATTTTGCGGTAATTTTTGGGTAGGGTGTGAGGTAGGAGGACAACTTCATTGTTTTGCATGTGAGTATCCAGTGATCCCACCACCATTTGTTGAAAAGACCATTCTCATTCTTTCTCCATTGAATTCTCTTGGCTCTCTTGTTGAAATCAAGTGAACATAATTTTAAGGGCTTACTTTTTGACTCAGTTCTATTCCATTGATCTGTATGCTCATTCTTATGCCAGTATCACACTTTCTGGGTTATTGTATATTTGTAGTAAGTTTTGAATTTGGGAAATATGAACCCTCTAACCTCTCATTTTCCAGTATTGTTTTGGCTATTCTGGATCCCTTTTCATTTGTGATTTTGGGGGAAAAAACCTCAGCTGGAATTTTGATAGGGATTTTATTGAATCTGTAGATCAATTTTGGAAGTACCGTTATAGTAACAGTATAAACTCTTTCTGTCCATGAAAATGGGATACCTTTCCATTTATTTGGATCTTTCATAATTTCTTTCAACAAAATTTTGTACTCTTTAGTGTACAAGTCTTGCTCTTCTTTTGTTAAATCTATCCCTAAATATTTTATTCTTTTTTATACAATTGTAAATGTTATTATAAATTAGAAGAAAGCATAGGAGGAAATTCTTTTTTTTTTTTTTTTTTTTGAGTTGGAGTCTCACTCTGTTTTCCAGACTGGAGTGCAGTGGCACGCTCCCAGCCACTGCAGCCTCGACCTGCTGGGCTCCGGCGATCCTTCAGCCTCAGTCTTCCAAGTAGCTGTAACTACAGGCGTGCACTACCACACCCGGCTAATGTTTTATTTTATTTTATTGTAGAGATGAGGTCTCGCCAAGTTGCCCAGGTGGTTCTCGAACCCACAAGCTCAGGCAATTCACTCACCTCAGCCTCCCAAGGTGCAGGATTACAGGCTGAGCCACCAAGCTGGCTAGGAGCAAGTTCTTTTTTTTTTTTGAGTTGGAGTCTCACTCTGTCGCCCAGACTGGAGTGCAGTGGCTGCTCCCGGCCATAGCAGCCTCGACCTGCTGGGCTCCAGTGATCCTTCCACGTCAGCCTTCCAAGTAGCTGGAATTACAGGCATGCGCTACTATGCCCGGCTGATTTTTTGATTTATTGTAGAGATGAGGTCTCGTTGCCCAGGCGGGTCTCAAACCTGTGGGCTCAGGCAATC